TTGACTCTTAAATGAAAGTCTTTAAGAAGAACTCAAATGAGAACTTTTGAAATTTTATATGTTAAACTCTAAATTTTATTGGATGTGAATCACCAAAAGTTTTCAAATGAGTAACTTTGAAATTCTAGATGTGAAACTCTAAATTTTTTCAAATGTGAATCTTTAAACTCAAATGAAAAACTTCAAACTTTTGGATGTGAACCTCTAAATATTCTAAATGAGAATGTTTGAATTTTAGATGTGAAACTCTAAAATTATCGAATATGAATCCTTGAAATCGAATAAGAGGCTTCAAAATTTTGGATGCAAATCTCTAAATTTTGAATAAGAACCTTTGAACTTAGATGTGAAATTCTAAGATTTATTGAATGTGAATCTTTGAAGTCAAATGAAGAGTTTTGACAATTTAGGACGAAATCCTAAAGTTTTTAAGTGAGAAATTTTTGAATAAAATCTTTGACATTTAGGAAGTGAATCCCTGAAGTTTTAACCTTTGGGTGTGAATCACCAAAATTTGAATATGAATCTCCAAAATTCGAATCTTCAAATGTTGGATGTGAGCTTTGCAATTTGCATGCAAATCCTGGATTTTATATATGAATCTCATAAATACAAAGCTAAAAATCTTGCATATCTAAAATTTTGCGAATCAAATTCTTGTGAAACTGAAATTTTGAAAATCAAATTTTGGTGAATTCCTGCGAAGCCGAGAAGTTCTTGAAAATTCTTAGGAATTTTTAATTTTGAACTTTGGAATTTTGAGCTCAAATTTTGAATCTTTAATTTTCATCAAACATTTATGACTCCTCTGGACGTGATTTATGACTCCTCTAGACATGATTATCAAGAAGAATTATTTTTTAAAGTTATTAAGCCTCTGTTTAGAGGAGCTTTTATTTTTCAAAGTTGTTAAGTCTCTATTTAGAGGAGCATTATTTATTTTTCAAAGTCATTGGCCTTTGTTTAAATGACCTTTTATTTTCCAAAATTGTTGAGCCTTTTTTTTTCAAAGTCTTTAAGCCTCTATTTAGAGGAGCCCTTATTTATTTTCTAAAGTTGTTAAGCCTCTGATTAGATGAGCCTTATTTATTTTTCAAAGTTGTTGAGCTTCTGATTAGATGAGCTTTATTTATTTTTGAAAAGTTATTGAACCTTTGATTAGAGGAGCTTTATTTTTTTTTTAGTCATTAAGCCTCTGTTTAGAGGAGTTTTTATGTTATTCAAGGAGTTTGAGTAAAAAAAATAAAAATTTCAAGTTGATTAGGTTGTCTACGTCTTTGCATAATTCCTGTTTCATAGAAAATGTGCAAAGAGTGGTAGTTATAGACACCCCAATCTATCTGGGGGTCTAATTGATTTTGTTAATAAAAATAAAAATTAAAATAAAATAAAAAAAGAAAAATCGGTGGTTAGGTTTAGGTAAAACTTAGATTGAAGAGTTTGAGGTTGATTGTCTGAGTTTGGGTTGAATTTAAAATCTTAAAAGAGAATTTAAAAGGAATTGGAACTTTTTTCAATTTTGGGTTCTTTAAATTTAAACCCTAAAAATACAGCCCTATACCAAGTAATAAAAAATAGAGATTGGAGCTGAAAAATAGAGAATTACATATAAACACAGATCAGAGAGATATAGAGAGAAAAAAAAAGCACATATAGTGCTGAGAGATAGAGGGAGAAGAAGGTGTTAGAAATAAAAAAAATAAAAAAAGGGTTTTTGGTTTAAAAGAGAAACTATACAGGAAGGGTAAGTGAAAAAAACAAGGAAAATAGAGTGATTTGATAAAGCTTGAATTGATTTGAAGACTTTCCAGGGAGACCCATGTGCTTGTCTTCATTTTAGTCAAACTTTGGTATTTTTTCTAACTTTTCTTAGTTCATAATTCTTTATTTGATTATTTAGTTACTTTGTTTTACGTATAATTCTTAAAAAGGTATTTTTATATTTGATATTGATAAAATATATAATAATATTAATTTTGGTATTTATTTTATTTATTTATTTGGTTATCTTATTTGATTATTTATTTTTAAAGTATTTTTGTATGATTAAATTTTGAAAAAATAATAAAAAATAACAGAATATTTTTTGAGAATAAATAATAATTATCCAATGATGAAATTTTTAGAAATTTCAAATGGTAAATTTCTATAAAATTCTTAGGTGAGAAATTTTTTCTAAATTTGTCCCAAAAGGTAGAATAATTTAGATAAAATTTCAATAACAATAATTAATATTTATTTTCAAACAAAAAAGAAAGAAAAAAAAATTTTTGGTTGAAAATTTTTGACAATTATTCAATGATGAGATTCTTAAAAATTTCAAATGGTAAATTTCTTAAGAAATCTCTAGGTGAGAAATTTTTTTTAATTTGTCTTAAATGGTTGAAGAATTTAAATGAAATTTCAATAAAAAATAGTTGTCATATTATTTTCTTTCCAAAAAATAAAAAAAAATTAAATTGACCCAAATGATGAAAAATTTAGAAATAAAAAAGAAATAAAAAGAATTTCTAAATAGGCTCAAATGGTGGAGAATTTAGAAATTCAAAAGAGAAGATATTTTTAATTTGGCCCAAATGGTAGAATAATTATATATATTTTAAAAAAAACTAAAATAAAACTAAAAAAAAAACTTTCCGACAACGAAGCCTTTTCAAGAAATCAAATGAGATTCTTGAATGCTTTTGAAGTGAGGAATATTTTTAAGAGTTCTACCAAATCGATGAAGAGTCTTAAGAATTATTTCAAATATTTGAATATTAAAATTTAAAACTATTAGAATCAAGATCTTATGATCAATTTAAAATAAAATGGTGCCATCTTATGGATGGGCATGTGGGGGTGCTATAAGCTTTCACATATGTAATCAAACTCTCGAACCCTGTTTTAGTTAGTAGACCTGAACTTAATTCAACCTAATCCCATCGATGAATATTTTTTTAAAATTTGTAATTTCATTCCTTTACCTATCTTTAAGCTTTTTTTTTTATTTTACAAATGTCTTTAAATGTGTAAATTTCAATAAAAGTCTATCGTCACCTTAAAAATCTTTTATCGTGCTTTAAGATTACGCATATGCTGTATGAGTTTATAAATAAGTCATCATATCGTTTTTTTTTTTTACAATAAAAGGTTGGGTAATATTTTGTATTTAAAAAAGAAAGAAAGAAAGAAAAATTGATTTTCCCATTTTATCCAACCGAACCTTAATTCTGATACATGCAAGAAAAGATATATGCCCGTTAGTTTATTATTGACTTATGCAAAAATTATTAGTCTATGTCGGGCCATAGTGAAGCTCAAACGTGAAACTTATGTAAGCTTTTGTAATTTGAAAGGCATTTGGTTTATTGCGGCCACCGAGACCTAAACATGCACTTTGACAGATACACTGTCCCATTTTATCCGGTCGAACCTTAATTCTGGTACATGCAAGAAAAGATATATGTCCTTCATATTATGTTTGGTGTGTAACATATTGTATAAACTATTATAATAATAATTTTATATTATATTTAATTTGTATTTAAAGAAATAGATAAGATTATGAGGAAGATTAATCATCCTGTTGATATAAGATGATTCAATTTTTTCAAAGTAAAAAAGATTATTTTTAATTAATGAGATTGAATTTATATATTTTATTCTATCTTTAAAAATTATATTCATAATTTAAATCATATAAATTTTGAAAAATAATAATGATATAAATAAATTATCTTATTTAAATTTTTACACAAATCAAATATAAAATAAAATGATATTATTTACTAAACGCGTTTTTAGTTTACTATTGACTTATGCAAAAACTATTAGTCTTATTCTGGGCCATACTGAAGCTCAAGCGTGAAACATAAGTAAGGTTTTGTAATTTGAAAGACGTTAGGTTTATTGCGGCCACCAAGTCCTAACCTTGCACTTTGTCTGATACGTACACTCTGCTTCTCAACTTCCACGAAACTCATTTCAAATACGTAAACATGCACTTGATCAGATACGAAAACTCATTTTAAATACACTTTACACTATACCAAGACCTATACATGCACTTTGTCAGATACGTACACTGTACTAGGTCATGCACTTTGTCAGGCCTAAACATGCACTTTTGTCATGTTATTAGTAACGACATTGGTTAAGATCAATATATGTTTGATATTGTAATTGAACTGCGTTTTAATCGTAATTATCACATTTGATTATAAATGCAAAACTAATTTGATTATAAATACAAAACTAACTATGATATAAATGTTTTGGTAAAAAATTTGGAGCACAATAATTTTATTTTTAATTGTAAAAACAAGTAAATACTAAATTTCTATGATTGTGATCTTTCATATCGTAATTATAATTGTTTGTGTCGAGTTTTGAATTATGATAAAACCTTGAAATCACAAGAAAAAGGATATTTAAGAGCAAAAGTAAAAAGTATTCTTTATATTTCCACTTTAATATTCAAATTAAAAGTCTACTAGAAGAGTTCAGAAAAAAAGTTAACAATAAAAAAAAAGTATAAGCCAATAAGATAATTAGATAATACATGAATTGTCTTATTTATATATGAGATAATGAGATAGTACTTGAATTGTTATTTATATATAAAAAGTGAGAGTTTTACAAGATAAATTGATTACATGGTCAAGTTGAATTGACATGACATTATACATATCAAGTCAATTTAAAAAAAATACTCATGGTTATTTATTGACAATTTTTAATGAAAACAAAAAGATCATTTTGACCTTTGGATCTAAAAACAGCTTAACAATGGTCTTCGTCTATTGTCGCTTTCGCAACACTGGCGCCAGCTACTATTTTTTGGCTGTATATATAATTTTTTTCTTTTAATAATAGGTTTCACAAATATTGATTATGTGAAAAGAAATTTGGGTGCGTGAGTTTTCGCTCTATATATTATCCAATAAAATAAGGCTTGAATTTGCTCGTTTTATGTGTTTGAGTGGCTAGAAAAAAAAAAGACTAGTAAGAAAAGAATCATGCCTGTCGGCTCTAAATCACTATCAAGAATGAACAGAAATTTGATAGAAAGAGAACGAAGATCGCAGATGAAAATTCTGTTTTCGAAGCTCTTTAACCTCCTTCCTCCTCACCCAACCAAGGTACGTACGATCATCTCTCCGCTCGATCCATTTTGCTTAAGGTGAAATGTTATAACACCATTGATTAATGTTTGTAGACGTCGATTCCTGAGATGGTGGAGCATGCCACTGTTTGTATCAGCCAACTACAAAAGCGAATGGAGGAGCTCAAGCAGAGGAAGGTGCAGCTCGAAGCTGACCATATTTCACCGCAAGCTGTGGCAACAGGAACAATATCCCCAGTTATTGATATAACAGATTTGGATTCTTCTATGGAAGTAAATTTAATGGCTGGGACGAATACTAAGTTTGCATTATGCGACATTATCAGTATCCTTGAGGAAGAAGGAGCCCAAGTTCTAAGTGCTACGTATCATAATACAGGGAATAAGATCCTCCTTTCAATTCATTCTCAGGTAATTTATCAATGGTTTTCCAGGGAGTTGAGTTCACAGTTTAACCCATTCAAACTGCAGATTAACTCGAAAGACTAACATACTAGAAACAATTAAAGCTTTTAGTCCATACGACGTCGGAATTAATTCATCAAATTTTTGTCTTTTAAGTAGACATGAACACTTTATATTTTTTCTCTTGTTTTCTTGTAGCTGGTGATTCTGCTTTCTATTGAATAATGAAATTTTACTTTGCAAATGAGAAAACTTTATATTTATTTATTTATTTATTTGATAATATGCTAAGTGTTATCCTAGATTTTACCACATATATAGTATACAATATATATATATATATATATTTATGCTTCACTTCGGTGCTGAATTTTACGCAATTGATTGATCTTTTGCAGGCGGCCTATTCTAGAATTGGAATTGAAAATGTCCGAGTGCATGAGAGGTTGAAGAGACTGCAGATTTCTTGAAAGAGTGTGCTACTGCAAATTAAAAGCTGCGTACGAGCATGTATGTAGCTGTTGGCGTATTTTCTACTAATAAATAAACTACTGCAGATTAAAGATGTGTGTAAGTTAAGTTAGCGGTTCAATTATATTTTCTAACATAAAATATTTTCGTTTTGTACTCCTCTGTTTTAAATATTTGTTATATATTGATTTTTATCAGAGTTTTAAAAAAAAGTTTAATTTTGTATTTAATATTAAAATTTAAATTTTTTATGAAATTAAAGTTCCATAATTTTTAATGTCAAAACGTAAAAAAAAAAAATCATTAAAATAATTTTAAAATATAAAAAAAAAGGGTTTAGATGTTAAAAATATAGGACATTCCAAAAAAAAAATGGGTAAAGAAAATGGGAAAAAGGGAGTATATTGAATTAAATTTTGAAAATTTCTTTGCGTCATAACATTTAAGTCCAATAACCTATCGATTGGACAAAAAAATCACAGAGTTACCAACAATATTTTTTATTTAGATGTGATTGACTATTTAAATGGATTTATTTTTTTAAGGTTGTCCTAAGCACAAAAAAAAGGGAATAGATTTTGATCTATATTAATAGAACTAAGGTTCGAAGGTTGGTTACGTGTAGAAAATGTATTATCACTCTTTTACGTCTAAAATTGGTACCAAATTAATTACGTTATCTTACTTAAGCCTTAATCAAAAAAGGTTTTTATCATGCACATAAATCAAATCTAATCCTTTTATTTATTTATACAACATTGTCATACAAAAATTCTATCGTGATCAAATCATGCAATATTATCAAAATATGCAATTATGCAATATCATAACAAATATCATGCTAATATAAAAACCATAAAAAAAAAACTATGCAAAAATATCATGTAATAAATAAAAAAAAACACCATGTAATCATGCAAATATAAAAAATAAGCATGCAAAAATTATAATGCAACAAATATAAAATCATGCAAGTAGATTAAATTCATGCAAAATCATGCAAATATATATTAATGATTCATGCAAATAATTAGAAACCATGCAAATAGACATCATGCAAAAATATATAATAAATCATGCAAATAGCAAATAATCACACATATATTTATTATTCATGCACAAAAAAATTTAATACTAAAGCTTCTTTTTTTCTCTTTTTCCTCATCTTTTTTTTATTTAGTCACACTATAAAAAATTGAAATAAGAAAAAACAAGATAAAAAATAGAGAATAAAAATAAAAGTAAAAATCAAAATAAAAAATACAAAGAAAAAAAAAGTAAAAACCTGCATTTGAGTTGGGTTGGAGCGCGAGTCAACAAGTCACATGCAGGTTAGGGCTTTGCAAAAACAATGTCATTTAGGCTTGGGTATAAAAGCCAAAAACTTATATTTTTCTCAAATCATTCTCTACTCTTTCTCTTTCTAACCTCATATTTCTCCTCCCTCTCCATAAAACCAACCCATGGTGAAATTCAAACTTCTTAGAAATTGACCAAGAAACCTAGATTTTGGCATCAAAAAATTCAATCAGTCATCGAAAAATTCAAACAAACTCAAAAAATTTTAAAAACTCAAATTTCGATCACCGTCAAAACCTTTCAACCATCATATACTTCATCAAAAAATTCAAACAAAAAACCTAAAAAACCCAGAATTCAACACAAACTTCCAAAATTCCCCAAAAAAAGAAAAAAATCAAAATTTCAAAAATCAAAATCCAAAACCTCAAAATTCCAAAACTCCTCAAAATTTAAAACACAACACAAATCCAATCCAAAAAACCAAGATCCTAGCAATCACCACAAGACCCAAAAAGAAAAACTTTAGTTCCCATAACCAATTCCCAAACCAAATTTTCAAAACCAAAACAAAAAAAAAAAACCAAAAATTGAAACCTCAAACACCAGAACTAGAACCTAAAAATTTTTATGCTTCAATTGTTGACTTGTTTAGTGCTTCTGTATTACTTGAGATTTTCCTCCCCCACTTGATTGTGATTACAGGGTTCATTATATAGGGATTAAACCCGTTTCAGTTTGGAAATATTCAAATTCTACTGAATCTATGAGACTTTTCCTAAGATTTGATTTCATGTGAATTTTCCTTTTTTGCATGAATTACAGCCCAAGTTTTCCACAATCAATCTGTTCTTTAATTTCTAGAATCTAAATAAAATCATGGAACGAAATCTTCAAATTCCCACGTCGTTTTTGTTTTGGGTTTTTTGACACCTCTTTTTTTTATTTTTTGAACAAAAATAATAAAAACTAAAATGAAAATCTAAAAACCAAAAATTAAAATAAAATAAAAATAAATAAAAACACAATTTCAAGCTTTTCAATCTTTTGGGCTTAAAATTCAATTTCATTAACTAAGGCCTAATTATAATTTTGCATAAAATTTAAAGGCCATTTTTATTTCAAAAAAATTTTTAGACAAAATAGAGTGTCTATAGTTGCCCCTTTTTGTATATTTTATGTGAAACAATAATTATACAAAGACAAAAAGCATCCATTTTGTTTGGGTTTTAAAAAAATCAAAAAAGAAAATTCTAAAAACCCATCCACAACTAAGGCTTAAAAACTTTTGAAATATAAAATACTCTTCAACCGAGGCTTTAAACTTTTAAAAAATAAAGTACTCTTCCATCGATGCTTTAACTTTTGAAAAATTAAATATTCCTCCACTGAGGCTTTAATTTTTGAAAAATAAAGTATTTTTCCACTGAGGCTTCCATTTTTGAAAAATAAAGTACTCTTCCAGCAAGGGCTTGACTTTTAAAAAATAAAGAACTCCTCCACCGAAGATGCAACTTTTGAAAAATAAAGAACTCTTCCATTGAGGCTACAACTTTTGCAAAATAAAGTAGATATCTAAGATTTTCAAGATCACACTTTGAGGTCTTATAGATTATTCTTGCTTTCAAAAAAGCTCTTCCTTAACAAAGGTATTGAAACTTTAAAAATTCTAACCTTAAAGTGATTTCTTTCATTTTAACTGAATCATCATTGATGTCTCTTTTTTAAATCATCACTACATCTATTTTCTCCAAACATATGTAATGAATACATGCAATGTATGAATACATGCAATGTTGAAAAGATTTTCCAAAATTCTCCAATTTAGTTTCAAGATTCAAAATTTAGTTTTTATATCTTTTTTAAACATGCATGATGCATGGAATAATATCATGAATGCAATGTTCTCAACATGATACATGCAACATGTAATGGATGCTAACAAATGCAGTGAATGCAATGCATGAAATGCAAAATCTTATCATGATGCAGGAATGTAGTGACTATAATGAATGCAGTGAATGCAATACAAAGGTATCATGTATCTCTAATTGTGGCGAATGATTCTTAAGACTCTTCTTCATGTCTTCTTTCCTTTTCAGCTTCCCATTGTATTCTACTTCAGCTTTTTTAAAATTGGCTACCAAATGTATCCACTAATTTATGAACCAAAATTTTTTTTCATTAGTTTCATCATTTCATCTCAACATTTAGAATATTTATTTTTATTTAGAAGCAACAAGTATCAACATCCTTTTCGTCATTCATTTTCTATCTACCCTAATCACATTCAACTTTTTCAAAATAATGCAAGGATCTTTCATATCAATCATTTATTCATTCATCATTAGTCTAATTTGATGACAAATGTAATCCATCACATTTCCTTAATTCATCATAGGAAGGAAAAAATAAATGGTGAAGAAAAGAAAAATCAAAGAAAGGGTATTCATTATAAGAACAAGTCTGGTAAAGAATCAATAGACAAAGAAGACATTTCAAAGCAAATCATTAAGATAAATGTTAAAAAGGGTTTACAACATCTAACATAATGAATATTTAGACAAATCTAAACAAGTTAATTCAAAATTCTTTTTCAAAATCCCATTCCATTAATATCTTTGCTTATTGAGCTCATCAATCCAGGCATTATCCATATCTCATGGGATTTTCATTAAAGTTAAGTCCCTTTTTTTTTTACTTAAACCATCTTTTTGAGTTTTCAATTTAAGTTTTCTTTTTCCACTTTTTTCTTTTTTACATTTTTACATTTTTCATTTTTGCTTTTTTTCATATCTTTTCATATCTTTTCCATTTCATTTGTTTTTCTCTTGATCAATCAATAACATTTCAATCAAAACCCTAAACAATCTCAAGTCTAGCTTAGTTCAATTCATGATTTTCCAATTCAAGAATTCTCATTTAATTAAAATGGACTTTTAAGAGATGTAATGTATGCTATGGTGAAAAGTTATGAAAAAATGGATAAAATAGGCCAAAAATGTATTTAAAAGATTATGAACCAAAGGATCATTTCTCATCATATGAAGCACTTTGGCATTTTGCCCCACTCAATTTTTTTTTCTTTTGCTTCACATTTTTCTTTCATTTTTTATTTTGCATTTTTCATCATTTTTCAAGAAAGATCTAAGCACAAAATGGTTTTGCCCTTAAAATCATTAGAGACCTTTTTTTTTTTTTTAACAATCCCTTTTTAAACTTTGTTATGTGAAAGGTGATCCTTGGTTGGGGTTCTTGAAAAGAAAACTTCAATAGGCTCAAATGAGGTAGCAAATGAAAAACTTTACTCTTTGTATTAAGGGTAAAAGAAATACGGACATTTTTTATTTCAAACATGAATACTCTCTATGAAGAACATTTATTGACTAAGGGCAAACTTGTAAACGAATCATCGTAAAGCCACATACAACATTACTTTCAGGAGTGAAAATCTTTGCCAAATTTGACTCATTTCTCTTTTCACTTTAGTAATCCCACAGATTAAAAATCTCAACTCATCAATTTCACTAATATGAAGAAGCTATCAAAATTAAATCATAAATTATTGTTATAAATACCCATCTGTGTCTTGGGTCAATTAGGGTTGATTTTTGCTATTATTATTTTTTATTAATATTATTTGTTATTATTTTATTATTGTTATTATTACCAGTAGACTATAGTATAGTATATTATATTA